CGGCATTCCCTTCAGCTGCCGCTTCCGGGCTATGGGGTCTCAGCTGCCTCTTACATTCCTGCCCTAGAGCATTGTGGGAGCAGCTGGAGGAGGACAAAGGGATGGGGGAGTATCCCCCCACTCCTCCTACCTCCTGGGGTGACCTGGCTTCCCTGTCTCCAGGCCCGCCTTCATCTCCAAGGCAACTCAGCTTTTCCTCAGCCCTGGGCTCTTCAGAGGCAGGCCTCCAGAAAGTGGGAGCCAGGGGACTAGAGGGGACCCCGGGTGGGTGTTCCCGTGCTCTAGACCTGGACACACTGGCGTGGGGGTGTGAGCGGTGACAGCAGGGGCCCCTCAGGGTTCCAGGGTCTGGGAAATTCAGTGCAGGCTCTGGGACTCAGGTTAGGATGGTTTTCCTGCTGCTAGGGCAGGGGTGACGCCTGGGTTTGTTGCGGTGCGGTTTTAGGTGGCGTGAGCTGCCTGGGCCCGTGAGGACCAGGGTGGGGGTTCTCAGGCTCCTGCGGGTGCAGATCAACTGGGGGTTGTGCTGTACTGCGATGCTGATTGTGCGGGCCTAGGTGGGGCTGGCATCCAGGTGTGGAGGGCGCTGGTTCACCCATGGTGGCCCTCGAGGACTGTGACGACAGTGAGAGGGAAAGGTCTGTGGTCTCCCACTTCTCTTCGGATTCTGGGCTCTGAGGTGGGAGGGGACCCCAGTCAGCTGGTTCAGCCTTCCTGATATTTAATTTTATCATATCCTCAGCAAGGAGTTACCCAGCCTTTTCTGGGAAACCTTTGTTAAGATTTGCCATAGGGCATATGCACTCACTGGGGGAACAGGGAGGGGAAGTGAGAGAGCACCTCCCAGGGGAATGGCCACACCACAGTCCCTTCTCCATTCTCCTCCGGAATTGGCACACGGGCACACACTCCCAGCGTGTTTGCAAGCTGCCGCTTCGGGACTCGAACAGCGCAGTCAGCCGTGTGGGATCCAGTCACCTTAACAACCGTGCCACTGACTGGCCCAAACCTTCATATTTTCAAAGTCGAAATGCTTTTTATATTTTCCGTATCACATGATTTCACGTAACTACATACATGTTATCGCATAATACAGGTTTTTTTTTTGAGAGGTTTTTGCTATAGGGTGCGTGCACTTGCCAGTCAGACAGAGAGAGACATAGAGACAGAAAGCGAGAAATCACCCCCCAGGGGGGATGGTCACGCCGCAATCCCTTCTCCTCCATTCTCTTCTCGGGATCTTGGGCACGCATGCACACGCGCCCAGCGTGAGTTTTAAGCCACCAGGTCCGGGACGCGAACTGTGGTCGACTACCTGGGAGTCCAGCGACGTAGCCATTATGCTAACTACTGGTTCCCGCATGATACAGGTTTTAGGAGAATAGTACAGTCACCTGACTTTTCATCCGCTTCTCCCTCTCTTGCCCCGTTCACGCTAACTCATGTCTAATTGTGTGTCTTTTCCCGATGTAGGTCCATGTAGGAATACATACAAATGTGGGTTTGTTTATTATTTGTGTGAAAAATGTGGGATCGGACCAGCAGTTAGCGTAATGGCTATGTCACTGGACTCCCACGTAGTTGACCGCGGTTCGTGTCCCGGACCCGGTGGCTTAAACTCACACCAGGCGTGTGTGCGTGCGTGCCCAAGATCCCGAGAAGAGAATGGAGGAGAAGGGATTGTGGCGTGGCCATCCCCCCTGGGGGGCGATTTCTCGCTTTCTGTCTCTATGTCTCTCTCTGTCTGACTGGCAAGTGCACGCACCCTATAGCAAAAACCTCTCCAAAAAAAAAGAAAAAAAAATGTGGGATGATTTTTATACCTCAGTTCTTGCTTTCCGTGTTCTGGAAAAGCACGCTGAGCCGAGGTTTATCACAACTTGCTATTTTTCATAGTTACAGTAGGCCACAAACTTTACATTTTTCCCAGCTGTTCTCCAGTGAGCACTCATATGACTCACAGATTTGGGTCCTTACAAAAGGTGCCATAATAGACTCTTTTTTTCTTTTTCTTTTCTTTTCTTTTCTTTCTTTTTTTTTTTTTTTAGGTTTTTGCCCTAGAGGGCATGCTTTCGCCTGGAGAGAGACAGAAAGAGACAGAGAGAGGGAAAGTAAGAAATGGGGGGATGGCCATACCACAATCCCTTCTCCTCCGTTCTCCTCTCAGGATTTTGGTTACGCACACACACGTGCCCAGTGTGATTTTCAAGCTGCCGGGTCTGGGACTCAAACTGGAGTCGGCCATGTGGGAGTCCAGTGCCTTACCCCCAGGACACCTGCCGGTCCCCATAGCGGACATCTTTGTGCTCCTGGTGCTCCTCTCTCTCCCTTTCGTTAGACCGTTAAGAGGGAAAATACTGGATGGAAGGGGGTGTCTCTTAAACTACGATGGGAGTCGCTAAGTTGCTCTCCACATAGATGCTCGCAGCACATTCTGCCCTCGCTCCCCACCACCTGCAGACGGCACAGCCTTCAAAACCGTTTTGTCAATGCGAGCTGTATTTCCCTGACTCTAGTAAATATGACTGCAACAAAAAGTTGGTTGGCAATTCAGTTTTGCTCTCCCACGAAACGACTTCACATTGTTGGACCATGTCTCGTTTACGTGTGTTTTCTTGCCAGTTCGTGAGAGGCCTTAGTCCGTTAGGATTACCAGCCCGCCTGTCGTGTTATGACCTCTGTGGCAGGTCTGTCTGTGGGAAGCCAGTGTTCCTGGGGTCTTCTGCCCTTTCCTGATGAAGGAGCTCTGGGCAGGTTACGGAGCGGATCCCCGCCCCAGCTTCGCTGTGTTAAATATGGAGAGTAACAGTATCTACCTTATGAAGTGACTGAAGATAAAATTATGGATTCTGTTTAAGGGTTTAGCCCAGTGTCTGGCACATGGGAAGCATTCTAAAAATACAACTGCTGCCGTTAAACAGTGACTGTTGTCGTTTTACTGTGTTGTCCCCAAGGCAGCCCCTTCGGCCTGTGCTGTGGCCCGGACTCAGTCGCCCCACCGTACTTACCCCTGCCCTTTGGTCCTCCGCAGAGATGCCACCCCCACCCCCGTAGGCCCGCGGGATCAGGAGCTATGGGGCCGGGGGCCCTTTCTCTACTGCTGCTGCTGCTCTCGGTGGCAAGTGGAGATGCTGACATGAAGGGACACTTTGACCCGGGTGAGGAACCTGACTCCCGGGGTCCCGAGGGCTGGGGCTTGGGAGGCAGAGAGCCAGGGCCTTGGGCGTCACACGCCTGTGTCCACCCAGCCAAGTGCCGCTACGCCCTGGGGATGCAGGACCGGACCATCCCGGACAGCGACATCTCTGCCTCCAGCTCCTGGTCGGACTCCACTGCTGCCCGCCACAGCAGGTACCCGGCGGCCCGCACTCCTGGCTTTACCCAGGGGGAGCGCCTGCCTCCTCTCCTCGCCCTGCCCGTCTTCTGCAAGCCAAGACGCTTTGGGGAGGACCCATGTCCACACCCCCCTGCAGTCCCGGGGAGGGGCCTTTAGTACTAGAGACAGACAGACAGACCCGAGCCAGAACTTCCCTGTGACCTCCTTCTCCCCCCTAGGCTGGAGAGCAATGACGGGGATGGGGCGTGGTGCCCCGCTGGGTCGGTGTTCCCCAAGGAGGAGGAGTACCTGCAGGTGGATCTACGGCGCCTGCACCTGGTGGCTCTGGTGGGCACCCAGGGGCGGCACGCTGGGGGCCTGGGCAAGGAGTTCTCCCGCAGCTACCGGCTGCGTTACTCCCGGGACGGCCACCGCTGGATGGACTGGAGGGACCGCTGGGGTCAGGAGGTGAGGCCGGGGACGTTGCCTCTTTTCTCCCTTCCCGTGCTGAGTCCAGCGTGTGTCAGACGGGCCTCCATGAGCTCCACCTGGTATGGCAAAGCTGACCACGCTCTGGGCCTTTTTACCCAGATGTGGCGCGGGCATCTCACACCTGCCGTCTAGTGACTGAACTCCATGCCCGCTCCCACACACACCTGATCCTCCCGGCACCCCCAGCCAGGACTGGGCCTACCACTGCCCGGCTCAGGCTGTGAGTGACGTGATCCTGGCTCCTGCCAAAGCATGGGCAGGACCGATCTGCACTGCCTCTGGGAATCTCCACGTCTGTCGCTTCTCACCACACTGCCTCCACTCCTCAGGCCAGGCGCCCCCACTCAGGGGGCGAAACCACTGCCTGTTCTGTCCTCTGCCTGAGCTCGACTCCCTGCTAGGGCTCCACACAGCGCCGCTCAGAACACGCAAACCAGACGTGTCACTCGGCCCCCTCCGCCCGGACGAAGCTGCGCGCCCAGCCGGTGCAGCCGGTGCGGGTGCTTAGCCCCCTGGCAGGCTTGCCGCTCGCTCTGCCCCAGCTTGGCCACTGCCCTCCTGCAGTTCCGGAACAGGCCGGGACTCGTTCCCATCCCGTCACTCCGGGACATTTCACTTGCTGCTCTCTGTGCCCAGAAAGCTCCTCCCTCCTCCCCCTGTCCACAGGTTCTCCCTGCGCCCTGCAGTTTTCCCTTGTGATGGCACTCCGTAAAAGCCTTGTCCTGGCCTGCCCACCTCACTGCTCCGTCCCTCCCTGCCGCTTCTGTTGGAATCTCAGTCCTGCCAGGGGAGGCCCTGGTGTTCGTCACTGAGAACGCCCGGCACCCAGGGCGCACCCAGCACACTTCTGGCGAAGGAGCAGAGGGGCTGGGGAGAAGCTGAGGCAGGCTGCGGGGCTGCGAGCATCCGGGTAGCCTCTGGGACGCGGGCAGCGCCAGCAGAGCAGGGGGTGGAGACGGGTGTGAGGACAGACCACCAAGGCTGTAGGCGCGGGGTCTCTGCCGCTGACGCTCCTTTTACAGGCGCCTGGCGGCTCCCACCCTTCACGGGTGGCAGTGGCTGCTGGGGGCTGGGCCAGGGAGCGGCTCCATGCTGGGCAGTTCTGTCTCACTGGGAGCCCCTATTTCCCTAACCCACAGGTGATCTCAGGTAATGAGGACCCCGAGGGAGTAGTGCTAAAGGACCTCGGGCCCCCCATGGTGGCCCGGCTGGTTCGCTTCTACCCCGGGGCCGACCGGGTAATGAGCGTGTGCATGCGGGTGGAGCTCTATGGCTGTCTCTGGAGGGGTGAGTAGATCAGCCCTGGAACTGCTTCCCATCCTGGGGGCTGGAGGTGGGGACTGCCTCTTTCTCCTGTCTCCGAGGGAGGAGGGCACATGGCCAATGGAGGGATGTGGAAGGGGGCCTGGCTCAGGGATGGGGATGGAGGAAGCTTCTGGCCTCTGACACCCCTCCTCCCGCCCTGCGCAGACGGACTCCTGTCTTACACGGCCCCTGTGGGGCAGACCATGTACTTGTCTGAAGCCATGCACCTCAACGACTCCACCTACGACGGACACACGGTGGGCGGGTGAGAGGAAGGGCCTGCAGCCAGCGTGCGGTGGGAGAGGCTGCGTGCGGTGGGAGAGGCTGCGGGTGTGTGCCCTGGGAGCAGGGTGGTTCGTGTGTAGTCTGGGCGGTGAGATGGAAGACCTGGAGAGGACCCCGTTAGGGGAGCCCTCGGGGACAGGGCCAGCATGAAGGGCACAGGGCTATCACTAGCCCACATGACGTGTGTGCGTGAGGGACAAGGCACCATTCTGCTGAGACACATCTGCTGGAAGTTTTCGGAATAAATATGAGGAAACCACCAAGTGTGTGGAAAAATGGAATTAAAGTACAAGATTATTTCGGGGTAAAATATTTTTGAAATCCATGGATTTTTATGTTTTATAATGCACCTTCCCCCTTTTGTTTTATAAAGCCCCCCCCCCCCCCTCCCCAGTTTTTATTAGAGGGTGCATATGCTTAGCAGAGAGAGAGAGAAACCACACCTCCCCACCCCAGTAGGGATGGCCAGGCTGCGATCCCTTCTTTTCTATTCTTCTCTCAGGACTTTGGGCACGCACGCACGCACATGCACCTGGTATGATTTTTTTTTTTTTTTTCGAGAGGTTTTCACTATAGGGCGCGTGCACTCGCCAGACAGAGAGAGACAGAGAGACAGAAAGCGAGAAATCACCCCCCAGGGGGAATGGTCACGCCGCAATCCCTTCTCCTCCATTCTCCTCTCGTGATCTCGTGATCTTGGGCACGCATGCACACGCGCCCGGCGTGAGTTTTAAGCCACCGGGTCCGGGACGCGAACCGCGGTCGACTACGTGGGAGTCCAGCGACATAGCCATTACGCTAAGTGCTGGTTCCCCACCTGGTATGATTTTCAGGCCGCTGAGTCCAGCACTCAAACTGCACAGTCAGCTACCTGGGATCCAGTGCCTTAACTTCCACGCCATCTGCTGGCTCCGTAACCACATTTTTTGTTTGTTTGTTTGTTTTTAATTTGCCAGAGGGCATGTGTGCTTGCAGAGAGAGAGAGTGAAGAAGAAAGCGCCCTCATGGGGAATGGTCACACTGCAATCCCTCCCCTCCATTTCTCCCTCTTCAGAATTTGGGCGCGCACACACATGTGCCTGGCACGTTTTTCAAGCCGCTGGTCTGGGACGGAAACTGCAGCTGGCCATGTGGGGTCCAGTCACCTTAACCACCCCCCCACTGGCCCCATCACACACACTCCTGTGAACTTTTCGAAGAGCCCTCATACATCCATCCTGAATCGAATCGTGCCCCTTGGGGTGGACAGCAGGGAGAAGAGAAGAGAGCCCTGAATGAGGTTGGGGCAGGGTGGGAAGGGGATGCAGGACAGGAGCCAGGCCGCCAGGATAGCTGGTACCCTTCCCCCCAACCTCCTCTTCCTTGGTGCCCCCCAGGCTGCAGTATGGTGGTCTGGGCCAGCTGGCAGATGGCGTGGTAGGGCTGGATGACTTCAGGAAGAGCCAGGAGCTGCGGGTCTGGCCAGGCTACGACTACGTGGGTTGGAGCAACCACAGCTTCCCCAGCGGCTACGTGGAGATGGAGTTTGAGTTTGACCGGCTGCGAACGTTCCAGGCCATGCAGGTGAGTGGGCCAGCTCTCAGGGAGGGCTCTGAAGCCAGGGGGGTGCTGCTGGCGGGTCCTCAGGGCTCTCCTGGCCTTGACCCTGCGTCCCTCCTCCTTCCCCCCAGGTCCACTGTAACAACATGCACACGCTGGGAGCCCGCCTGCCTGGTGGGGTGGAGTGTCGGTTCAAGCGGGGCCCAGCCCTGGCCTGGGAAGGGGAGCCTGTGCGCCATGCCCTGGGAGGCAGCCTGGGGGACCCCCGAGCCCGGACTGTCTCTGTGCCTCTGGGCGGCCGCGTGGGTCGCTTTCTGCAGTGTCGCTTCCTCTTTGCGGGACCTTGGCTACTCTTCAGTGAGGTTTCCTTCATCGCAGGTAAGCCCTGGTCTGCCCAGCCGCCCTCCCCTCACCCCCGACGGGTCTGCCAACTGAGTCCCTTCCTAGCCCATGGCCCCTCCCGAAGGTCCACTTCAGGCACCGTACCTGGTCATTACCCAGATTTAACTGATGAGAGCCCCTTTCTCCGTTTCCTGCTTAGCTCGATCTTTCCTTCCAAAGCCCCTCACTCAAGAGTGATACTGAGCCAGTAGGAGGGTCCTGGTCGTTAAAGCCCAGGCTGAGCATCCCCAGTGGGGAATCCAAAATCCGAAGTGCTCCAAAATCCGAAACTCTCGAGGGCTAACGTAATGCCACAAGTGGGGAGCCTCACAGTTGGCCTTCTGGGACAGACCGCAGTCCGAACATTGTGATATACAGAGATGTTTAGAAGGCCAGTCGTGTGGGGCTGTGGGCTCGCGCAGTGCTTCGGGAGCTGGACCCCGTGTGATGGACCGCGGTCTGAATCCGGGCGTTGGTGGCTTAGAAAACGTACCGGGAGCACGTGCATGTGTGCTCCGATCCAGAGGGTGGATAAACAGAGGAAGGAAGAGGATGGCGTGGCCGTGCCCCCTTGAGAGGTCCACTTTCCCTTTCTCTCCCTCTCTGGATGAGCACCAGCACCCTCTGGCAGTTAAAGAAAAAAAGAAACCATATAAAATGACCTCAGGCTGCGTGTCCAGGTTGTGTATGAAACACAAGGGCGTTTTCTGTTTAGACTTGGGCGCCGTCCCCAAGCTATCTCCTTATGCTTATGCAAATATTCTGAAATCCGAAACCCTAAACACCTCTGTTCCCAGGCCTCTCAGATAAGGGCTGTTCATTCTGCACTGAGACATTTCTGTCCTGAGAAGCCTCCTCCTCTCTAAGCCTCCTCATGCCCAGGAAACCCACTCCTCCCGATCCTGGGTTCGCATCCACCGCAGCAGGGCCTGGCCGCAGGGTCTGGGCGGCCGTCCAGCTGGTGCACCTGTGTAGTCTCCCCTCTGCTCCCACCCCTTTACCAACCACTCAGAGGCCCCAGTCCAGGACCCCGTCCCCTCATCTGACTCCCTCCTTTCTCCGCAGATGTGGTGAACGACACCTCTCAGGCTCCGGGGGGCACCTTCCCACCAGCCCCCTGGTGGCCTCCGGGCGCCCCGCCCACCAACTTCAGCAGCCTGGGTGAGCAGCCTTCGGGGCCTCCTCCCGGACGCCTGGGCCCTGGGCCTCCCCCTCGGGCGGGCGGGAAGCCGTCTGCGGTGCTGACTCTTCTGCCTCTGCCAGAGCTGGAGCCCCGGGGCCAGCAGCCCGTGGCCAAGGCCGAGGGCAGCCCGATGGTCGGGCCTGGGCGGGGCCAGAGCTCGCCTGCAGGGGTGCAGGCCCAGGCCCGTTAGCGAGCTTAGCGGAGGTTTACAGAGGTGTGGGGAAGGTGTATGAGGATCACAGAGAGCAGGGCAGCTCCCCGGGCGTCCCCAGCCCCTGGGCCTGTCAGGGTGAGAGGATGCGGTGGTCACCAGAACCCGTGAAGATCTAGCGAGTCTGTGCAGGGGTGTCTTGAGAGGGTGAGGGGCCCTTGGTTCAGGGATGCAGCTGGCCCCTGGGGCCTGGGAGAGTAAGTGCCCTGACCTCCGTCCCTGCCCTCGCTCCTCCCTCCTGCGGGGTTCTTTGACCTATCCAAACCAAGTCTGCTGGTGCAGGCCACGTGTGCCAGCCTTCCGGGGCGTTGAGGGTGGCCAGAGGTGGAGAGTGGAGCAGAGGCCAGTGCGAGAGGTCCTGGCATACCGCAGGCCAGCGTCTTCGGGGAGGAGTCTGGGGTGTGACAGGCATTGAGGTTGGTCATCGAGAACTGGCCAGACCCGGGTGGGGACCCTGCTGCAGGACATCAGGGACGTCCTGTCAGTGCTCTTGAGCTTCTTTACGTGGGAAACGGGGCTCCTAGCTGCCCTGTAGGACTGTGCTGGGGACTGGCGAGAACGCGGCACAGCTCTTAACGAAGCCGCAGGGCGCGTGCCAGGTGGGAGCTGCCGTTAGCCTCTCCCCTTCCTCACAAGGCCGAGCGGCGCGTGCTGGAGGAGGAGCTGACGGTCCACCTCTCTGTCCCGGGGGACACCATCCTCATCAACAACCGCCCAGGGCTTCGAGAGCCACCACCTTACCAGGAGCCTCGGCCTCGTGGGAACCCGCCCCACTCTGCCCCCGGTGTCCCCAATGGCTCTGGTATGGCCCACCTTGTTCCCGGCTCACCGCCGTTCTGTTTTCTTATGTAGTCCTCCCCCTCTTCTCCCCCTTCTCTTCTTTCCCTGGCTCCCCATTTTCTTATGTCTGTGCTCCTGCAACTGCTAGGTCACTCCCAGCAGCCTTCCTCGGGACCTTCCCACACATGGCCCACGTCCCGTGGCCTCTTCCCACCTGCCCCACACACCGCCCCCACTACCTCCTCTGCTGTGTCCTTCCACTGTGTCCCCCGGCCCTCCTCTTTCTCCTAGACTCACTTTGTTTTTCCTTCCATTCATGCATTCTCTGCCATCTGTCCATCCATCCGTCCGTCCGTCCATTTATCTGTACTCAGACACCTACTAGTCCATCCGTTCTCCGTCTGTCCTCCATCCAAACAGCCCTCCTGCCACCCGCTTACTTCCTACCCATCTATCCACCGGGCCACTGGAAAAGCCGTGATGCATTTTTGCATAGAAAACTATTTGGTCTTCGGAAAAGTCATGACATTTTTCTATGCAAAAGTGCATCTCGAGTTTGCCGACGACCCAGAATTAGACACCTGTTAGTCTACGCTTCAACTTCCTATCCTCCATCCGTCCATCCAGCCGTGCGCTTAGCCTCTGTCCAGCACCATCCACCCAGCCGTACACCCCTTCAGCGTGTTATGTATCTGTGAGTTCCATCATCACCCACCTCTCGTCCGCCGTCCTCCAGCCTCAGCCCTGTCCATCACCTGCGCACCCGCCGTCATCTGCCTACCCACCTGCTCTCCCTCACGCCCCAGGTCCTCCTTCTAACCCGTCTCTGTCTCTCGGTACCTTCATTCCCACCAGCGCCAACCTGGCCCTGTTCCAGGTCTCCCCGTCTGTCTACCCCTGAGTCTCATCCCTTCCCCGTGTCTCCCCCCTCCTTCTCCCGACAGCGTTGCTGCTCTCCAATCCGGCCTACCGCCTCCTCCTGGCCACTTACGCCCGCCCCCCTCGAGGCCCGGGCCCCCCCACACCCGCCTGGGCCAAACCCACCAACACCCAGGGTAAGCCCCTCTGCCCCTGGGTTCTGCCAGGCTCCCCAGACCCCTGCCAGGGCAGGGAAAACCCTCACACCTTGCACTCCCTCCTTCCTCACTGTGCCTCTGCCGCTCTCCGGAGCTCCCGAGGAGGAAGCTCCTGTGTGGAAAGGTTCCCTCTGCAGGTCCCCTCTGCAGGTCCCCTCTGCGCTTCTTGCTCCTTTGACAGGCCGGCCTCTCTGCTGAGTAGAGCGCATCCTGGCCCTCGGCCCGGCCCTCCTCTCCCACCCCATCTCTTCAGCTCTCCAGAGCTCCAGAGGCGGTGCCCCAGGCTCCCTGTAACTCCTGTATTCTCCCCTCTCTCTAGAGCTGCGAGGAGGGCCTGTCACCCTGGGCGCTCGCCCTCCCCCCCCACGCATCCTCTCTCTGCAGTCCCAGAGGTGAAGGCTCCCTCCTCCCCTCCTGTCTGCCCCTCCTCAGTGTCGCCTCTCCTTGTGGCCCCTGCCTAGGGCTGAGGGCCACTCTGCTTCTCTCTGTCTGTAGACGACCCGTGTGGGGCTGTGAGGAACTGTTGCCCTCTCCTCTCTGTGTGCCCCCGTCTCTGCTTGTCTTTAGCTTGGCGTGGGGGTGGGGGGACCGGGTGACCGTGCAGGGGAGCCAGGGTGGGAAGCAGGGGGCGGGCAGCTACATGACAGGGGGAGCTGGCCGCGAGTGGGACAGGGTTTGGACAGTAGGGGTGACCTGGTGGCCGTCCGTCTGCCGAGGGGGAAGAGGGATTCGTGCTCCAGCCCAGCCTTGCTCTGGGCACCTGGGCTGTGCTGCAGGTCAGAGAGCAGGCCTCTGTGGCAGTGCCTGCCCAGCCACCTCCCTGGCTGTGACGACTTCCTCAGGCATGGCTAGCTCTAGTCCCATGCCAGCGCCTCCCTGGGTTACGGTCACCGGAACGCCAGGGAATACACAGGGAACACCTAGGCTCTCTGAGGCTGGGAGACAGGGGGGCCCCCGAGAGGCTGGGGCCGGGAGCCCCGGGCTCCCGGGCTGCTTCTGAAGCCTCGCTCTGTCTTCTCTTCCCTCCCCCTCCAGCCTGCAGTGGGGACTATATGGAGCCTGAGAAGCCGGGGGCCCCGCTTCTGCCCCCGCCTCCCCAGAACAGCGTCCCCCATTACGCCGAGGCTGACATTGTCACCCTGCAGGGCGTCACTGGGGGCAACACCTACGCTGTGCCCGCGTTGCCCCCAGGGGCCGTCGGGGATGGGCCCCCCAGAGTGGATTTCCCTCGGTCGCGGCTCCGCTTCAAGGAGAAGCTTGGCGAAGGCCAGTTCGGGGAGGTGAGGAGGACGTGGGCTCCGCTGCAGAGCGTGAGCCAGCCAGGGCTCCGCGTCGTGTCTGCACAGCCCCGGCCAGGGGCCTTCGCAGTCCGCCACCTCGCGGCCTCCGGAAGCCGGTGCCTCCTCACAGGTGCACCTTCTTTCTCCAGGTGCACCTGTGTGAGGTCGAGGACCCTCAGGACCTCGTCAGCCTCGACTTCCCCCTGACCGTACGCAAGGGACACCCCTTACTGGTAGCTGTCAAGATCCTACGGCCAGATGCCACCAAGAATGCCAGGTGAGGAGCAGCGATGGCATCGAGAGGACAGCAGGGAGGCCGCGACGCGGGGGCACAGCAGAGGGGCGTCGGCAGGGCTTCACAGGGCACAGGCCGCCCTCACAGCCCGGCCCTCCCTGCCGTGCAGGAACGACTTCCTGAAGGAGGTGAAGATCATGTCGCGGCTCAAGGACCCCAACATCATCCGGCTCCTGGGCGTGTGCGTGCAGGACGACCCCCTCTGCATGATCACTGACTACATGGAGAACGGCGACCTCAACCAGTTCCTGGGCGCCCACCAGCTGGAGGACAAGGCGGCCGCGGGCGCGCCCGGGGATGGCGGGGCTGCCCAGGGGCCCACCATCAGGTACCTGCTTCCCAGGCTGGGCCTCCCCTGACAGCCCTCCACAGGGCGGCTCCTGTCCCCCACTCCGCCCGCTGGAGAGGCCGAG